GACGCGGCAGCTTCTGATTCGGATTACCAGAAGCTGGGGCGACTCTAAATTTACAGACGCGGCAGCTTCTGATTTGGATTACCAGAAGCTTTGGCGACTCTAAATTTACAGACGCGGCAGCTTCTGATTCAGATTACCAGATGCTGGGGCGACTCTAAATTTTGTTAGGGTATGTTGGTGATGGTGAACTATGGTGATCAGAGTAGATTTTGTATTAGATTTCTTATGCTTAATATATCACACTAATTGGAATAAACTTAAACGAAATAAATTATTCGTGTGAAAAGAAAATAAACAATGCAGAAAACGAAATAACGTATCAGAAGGTTACAATGATCATTATTACATCTGGACATATTTTGGTCAATTGAAATTGTGATATTTATAACATTCTATCATATTCAAGCTTTGTTCAAACTTTAACTTTGATGTGTGATGTCATTTCAAAATGTCATGCAATTCACGCATAGTTTTAATTCCGTAATTAAAATTTTATTCATATTCTATTCGGATGCTGTCGTTAACACTAAAAAAAAGGGAGTTTAGTTCTATTTTAGGTCTCTTTGAATTCATGGTATAAAAGCAAACTGAACTTCGGCTTCCGATAATATTAAAATAATATATTACGTATCCTACATACTGTCACGTCATATGCTCCTTTATACCCTTATGTCGTTGTGCAATAATTCACATCTCCACCATTTTTTGTCTAAACCAAACAGACGAAAGTATAATTAAAAGCAATCCACCGGACCTTTTTGAGCGATCAGTTTAGATGACATGCTTCTTTAATAATTTGAATGATTCTTTTATTTTGAAAAAAGGTCGCTTGGAGGACGTAAGTCACCAGCTCAAAATAATTGCACGAATGCAGCCAGGATTTTCAATATGAGAGTCCGAGTTGATAGCTAGAATAAATCCTACATAAAATTCTCATTATTGTTATAATACGTTAATCCGAATCTTAGTGTCGAAGATTGGATGTCAAGAGACCTCTAATAACTCTTTACATGAAGAAGTGAGCACGAAAAGTGGAAAGAAGTCTTCAAAAAAGGTGCTTAGTGAACATGGCACAATTTATCGAGTGAACATGTACTTTTTTCAGTCTAGGTAACCGAAATACTATTACTTTCATGATGCTCATATCGAGTGAACAAGTACTATGCTCATAGCATGTACTAGAGAGTGAGTACATAACGTGAGTACCGCAAGAATAGGTCGTGGAAGTGAACACGTGTCATGATGCTAAATAGTGTAAAAGTGGTACTGCATTGTGGTATGAAGTGGACCATGACAATGTTGTAGAAGTAAGGCCAATTTTTGTACCTGTTTTACTTTTTCTCAGAGCCTCCCTTGACAAAGTGAGTCAGAATGTCAATGGGAAGAGGGAAAATGATGGTGCTGTTCTTCTCTGCGGATATGGCAGAGAGTGTTTGTAGGTAGCGTAGCTGCAAGAGTCAGAATGAATAGGTTTAGGTCAAAGGCATCGGATATTACTTGAAAAGGTTTAAGGTAATAACCAACGTATGGCAGGTGAGAACCGAAAGACACGCACAAACAGATACAAATAGAAATTAGCATCGCTTTATAGGAATTGGACTTAGAGGAAAGACTTAATGCTAAAGGACAGATTGGCTTGGTGCGAGACTCGCGTGGTAACTGCTTCCCTTTAACTTTTGAACAATTCTTATCTTTGATTAGAAAATCCCTTTATTGGAACTAAGACGTCCATTGTAAATAATTTTGTAAATAATTTTGTGGTAAATAAATCGAGCCAGAAGCTTTGAACCGTCATTTGATCAGCACAAGCAGGAATTTTTGAAATTTGGACCCATTTTAAAGCACCAAATATTCTTTGCAACTGTTCAAATTTACTAACAGAATCGCATGAAAAAAATCCTGTTGTAATTAATAGAAATTTTTACAATGTAGTAGAAATTAACTATATACTGACCGCAAAGTTTGAACAGTAAGTTGTTACCTAAAATATTAGCACCAGATAGAGCAGGGAATATTGCATTGAATGGTTAATGTAAGCGAAATTATCCCACCAAGTTAGGTATAAGCCATCAGGGGCCATACTTTCAAAACTCGCTAAGTGAACGTAAGTACTTACGCTCTATTTTCTTGTCTATGATTAAGTGAACGTAAGTACTTACGCTCTATTTTCTTGTCTATGATTAAGTGAACGTAAGTACTTACGCTCTATTTTCTTGTCTATGATTGGTGGATTTTGCTTGAAAGGCCGTCAATGATTGGCTGATGAACTTACGATCTATCTCTTAACTTTTTGAAAGTATGGGCCCAGGTACCACGGAAGTGACACATACGGATGGAGCGTGAGTAGGTATAAGGAGTTTGTTCAGCCTGCATCATATGATATATTTTTTCATATGAAGTAGATGAAATAAACGATTTTAGTTAATGTCCCTAATAATTTTATTAAATTTCATCTTCGGGACTATTTTGCTAACCTCTATTACTGCGGGACGCCAACCAAAGATGAGCAAATCGAAAAAGGTCAAAGTGTCACTACATTTTTTTCGAAAAAAAGGGGGAGGTGGCAGCAATGAAACATGTAAAGTTGGTTGTAACAGTATTTCATTCATAAAAAATATAGCATTTAATCAAGAATATTTGTAGCTGAATAGGTTGATTGTGAAAAAAATATGTATTACACTCAGATGCTGATGCCTCATCAACGTGTTCCGAGGATGTAATGTAATTACTCATTCATGTAATATTCATTCTAGTGTTCTAGTGTATTGAGCCTAGTACATCTGGTATTAAGCCTAGTACATCTAGTACTGATCCTAGTACAGTGAAAACTCAACATTAAATTTCATAGAAAGGTTGAAGAAATATGAATTATATATCTTACCTAAATTAAGGACAGAGCATAAGTGCTCTGATAATAGAATGAAATTCTTCAAAATAAATTATTACATTGATATGATGCAGGCTGCACAAAATAGAATAGCAGTGCGGATATATGTATAGTAATACGCTCTATGTTTTTATATATTATTTAAGGTGCACAGTTTGCTACCACTGAGTCTTGAACTTTTTTTTTCAAATTGGGGGTGATTGCATCCAGTTAAACCATAGTTAAGTACTTAGTAACGGGTTCTTACAATAAAAATTAAAAACTAATTAAGGTATGAAAAAACATTATATAGCAGACGCATGTGTTTGACTGAATATTGAAAAATTTAAGAAAAACACTTAATGGGATCTTAGCAAGATAGAAACCACAAAAAGTTGAATAGTCAAAACGTTAAAGTGATTGGTATTTGCTTGGGACTCGAGAATGATTATTTATAATTCAAAGAATTAGGGGTAGCTAAGTACACACCATCTCATTAGGGTAGATGATTACTTTTGAACAATGAATGGAGGAAATGGCAACATTTACTAATGAGGATAAATCTCGGAAAGTAATATTAAAGTATGTGCGTAAATCTGGATATAGTGAGGCGAAGCAACTGAGTAAAACTAAATAAAATTAAGCTCTCAGTTTTGTAGGTGGGTTGGAAGTAGAGTAGTAGGTTCCGCATGTAGTGTGGTAGTAATGACTTAAAAATATTAATAGAAATATAGAACATCAATATTATATGGTAATTTTGGAAGGTAAATTTGGGCAGGTATTTTTTAGGAAAGTTATTTTAAAATATCGAAGATGAATTGAATGTTGAAAGAAGAATCGTACACAATTAGGCGGAAAAAATCATTATAGTTTTTAATGTTTTTCTCTTAGTTTAGTTAGGAGAGCTAAATGAGAATAAACAGCCTTAGCATTATTTGAATAAAATGAACGAGAGTAGTTTTAGTTCATTTCAGTTACGGTAGTTAATGATAGAAGATAAAGAAGATGTCGTTCGGAACGATAGTGTACTACAAATTAGTTCTAAAATATTATATATCGTGGTTTTTCCGTCTGGTTTCACTAATTGTAGAAGAGTAGGACATGTCAAATGTTATTTCTATGTGATCCTTGCACTCACTTCGCGGCAACAAAACCAATGCAAAGCTGGAGGAAAGAAACTTGAAAGGAAAGAAGGGAGAAAATTTGCGATGCAGCAAATGAAAAAAGGTATGACTCAATAAACATCCACCAATAGATTATTAGTTGGGCTACTACAAAAGATTCTTTTGAGAAGGATTTATTTCTTTGATTGCCATTTGTTTATAATAAAGTTTTTAAAGAATATTTGATGTGTTCTAGAAAGTGAAAATGTTGTTTATACATCGTGAGAAAAATCGACAAAATAATTGCAGCAAGTGACGAATAAGAAATATCCTGAAGAAGGGGGTGAACTCAATATAAGTAATGAGATTGATTAAGACTTTCAAGTAGAATAACCAAAATGACAAGAGAAAAATGAGCCTTTGAAACAGTATTTTATATCACACACCTGCGGGATATCTAATTCAAATTTATGTTACGCAATATATGGACGGAACCTTCATGAGATGAATCATACATGTGTATGCCAAATGGGAAGACATTTTTTTCACAAAACATGGTGAGAAACATCTCTGTTGTCGACTTCTTTGTTATGTTATCCATGTATTCATACAAGTCGCGCCAGTAGTAACATAATACATAAAAAAGTATTTCCACAGTGACAATAAAGCTCAGAAAGAGACTAGGAATTTGCAGAACCATTGATTGGGGGAATAATACTTATGAAGAAAATAATCATTGGGTTACACGTAAAATTCTTCAATGCGTCACTCGATGACGAAATTTTTTATGGTCAATTGTAAAAAAGATAAATAACTGTCGAGAATTTCATAGAAAACGTTCTTCTTCAAATAATATATTCAAAATGACGCTTATATACTCCGTCCTACGGTAGATGAGGATAATATGAGCAATGGAGTTGTTTATTTAATCCCCCTGACATTTGTCAACTAGAGAATGGGAGTAAGTCGAAGGTAGGGGTGGAAGTGCGTGATCTTGTGTCTACTTGCCATCCTGAATTATTAGGACTTACCTGCAGAGCAGCTGGACTTTCATTTATGACATCAGCAGCTTCCTTCAAGGCCCTGGAGGCTCTTTGTTCTCCTTCAGCTGCAATGACTTTAGCCCTGGCCTCACGGGCGGCCTCAGCCTCAGCGGCCATCGCACGTTGCAGTTGCACTGGCAGACGCACGTCCTTGCTGCCAAGGGTACGAGAACGTGCAATGTGGGGCACTTCCGGGCGCCAAATACTTTTCCTGATTAACCAACTTACCATTGATTAGATGGGAAAATGTGTCTGAAGATTGTATTAATGAGGGATTAGAAACACCGTGCCGCATGTTGAAGTAGTAATATTCATGAGTTCGGTTAAACCGCTCAACAGTCCCGTTACATTGAGGATACGAAATGTGTGCGAGAAAATGTGTCTGAAGATTGTATGTACGTATTTACGAATAATTAAAAACTCCGTGCCGCATGTTGAAGTAGTAATATTCAAGAGTTCGGTTAAACCGCTCGACAGTCCCGTTACATTGAGGATAATATACTGAAATTTTTACACCGGTCGCAGGACACGCAAGGTGTTACCACGCTTTGATTTGATATCATTGCTTTTTCTGGATAATGAATCAAGTAAACTTGGGAATCTTTGCATACAATTAAAATTAAAGCGGTAGCTTAGATGGACCAACAAGTTCGATTGCAAAATTGAACATAACAAAACAATACGAAAAGCTGTATCACTGCGCACATTAATTTTTTGCTTGGAAGCAAATTTTTTTGAAGAGATTACTCCGTCAACAGATACTGGAACCGGTTTGCGTTAACGGTCTAGAGAAATTTACGTGGTGGAGTTATATAGTTAAGATAACGTTTATACTCAAGTTTTCAAATGAACCGTAACGTTTTCGACTGAGTTGAGTAGATTAATATAAATCCATCTGGCACATATAATAATAAGACATTAAAAAGAGACCGAATTATTTTAAATTCATTACCGGAAAGTGGAAGGAACAACTACGATAACAGTAAATTTTAAAGGGTGAAAAAAGCGAGAGTTAGGAATATTGGCTCTCAAATCGGGAAAACACCTTCCACGAATATTTCTGCCGTACAGTTAATGAAGATAAAAGTGTTGAGATTTAGAAACTCATAACATAAATTTCAGGAAATGCGCTCTATGTCACGCGTTTAAGTAATTACCGAAATTTATGAGAAATTACTTTGATAACTTTTGAATGCGCATATTCTTGAAAGGTGATTAAACGTGACACAAAGCACCTATCGTGCATATCAATGCAGTTACGTGTCCGTCAAAACAATTTTTTCACCATGAGTAGGAGTAAACATGAATTATGGGTGGCAACAGTAACACAATATTTTTCAATTATAATTATAAATTAATAATTTTTTCAATAATTAAAGTATCAATTCGCATTATGGGAATCACAATTTTCAGTTTAGGTAATGTTCGAAAATCATATAAACAAATTATCTAAAAAATTATGATTGAATCATTATTTCAGCACCCAAAGATAGAAGAAGCATATAGCAAAGACCGGTATGCCAATAGAAAGCCTTCCCAAGAAGTAAACTTGTTCGATACAAATTAATTGCTTCCTAATGTGAATTGTTACGGGAAATTTCAAATACAGTAAGGAATGACTAAACTCAAATTACACAATAAATAATTATACAGTGCTTAGGATGACAAGTAATTGAAAAAGAATAAAAATCAACAATGAGTATTCATCAATAGGTAGTGTATAATTTTCTTATTGGAATTTATTTCAACAAATTTTATTTTTCATGACTCGCGCACCAAAAATTAACTGCTGTATGGATGGATCAGGCATGAATATGCGACTTTCGTAGCAAAAAAAGTGTATTCCTTAAGTATGAAATGTCTTTAATTCGTATACAACGGAAAAAGATTCCACCTCTTGAATGCACAGCTCGCCTGCTTTATGCCATGAAGGTTGAATTAGGATGATTATAAAGAAACTAAATTATTATTTATTTGCGTTTCAGGATCATTTGATTAATGAGGTCAAAGAAACTGACGTGTAAATAGACGAATTAAAAATTGTTTAAGGATATTGTTTAGAATTCAATCAATAGATATAGTATCGATGCTAACTATTGGAATGAGATACATACTTTGAAAGATATCAAACCATCACAAATTTAGTGTAAACTTTTACCCTGTCAGGGGAAGCCAGGATTTAATGAGCGTAAATTAGAATTACCTGAATAAGTAGTAATATTTTAGTGCCATCGCCAATGGAACGAAGGCAATGACATCCTTCAATTAAAATATCTCGACTATAATGCTATGTCACGCTTCTTTTTTTTTTTTTGCTTCGAATCCGCCTGGAATTTAAATAAAAGCGAGTTTCTCAGAACGCCAATAGAAAACCTCAACAGAATATTTATGTTTTGAATTGATACAAAAATTAAATTGTATTACGCCCATGCAGTTCTCGGTGTTTCATTGTAGTGCTTCCTAAAATGTAGCGTCTAGATTTACGACAGGTGTCACTAGCGTCTAGATTAACGACAGGTGTCACTAGCGTCTAGATTAACGACAGGTGTCACTAGCGTCTAGATTAACGAGTAGTGTCACTAGCGTCTAGATTAACGACAGGTGTCATTAGCGTCTAGATTAACGACAGGTGTCACTAGCGTCTATTTTAACGAGTAGTGTCATTAGCGTCTAGATTAACGACTGGTGTCACCAGCGTCTAGATTAACGAGTAGTGTCACTAGCGTCTAGATTAACGACAGGTGTCTCTAGCGTCTAGATTAACGACAGGTGTCTCTATAGCGTCTAGATTAACGACAGGTGTAAGTAACATTAGCTCTAGCAAGTGACCGCTAACAAGCAGCTACACGATTTATACTTGTGCTACGTGTGATAGGGAATCAGTTAAACCATTTCCACGAAGCCGTTATATTAGTTCACATACTTTAAGTCCTATTTAAAGTTAAATAATGACCCTGTTCTATTTTAATTTCAGATAGTTAAGGATGATGTTATATAATGGACAAATGAGGTGAACTTTTCAGCTTTCTATCATAAAATTTGTTACTCATCTACCAATGCACCAAGTCCTATTTTTTTTTTAATTTTGCTTCAAAACTCTGTTCATAAACCCTATCAAATGAAATATTTTCTTCTGAAGGTGCCACTTTATTTATTAAAAATTATTTAAAATAATTTTTCTTTTCATTTAGGAGGTAATAAATAACTATCACTATGACTCATGCATGTTAAGTTATGACGAATCCTTCATGGTAAATTATGACGAATCATGCATGTTGAATCGTGCATGATGAATATAAATGTATTAAACAAAGATGATTCACAAAGGCTCCTAGACTGTCATCCTCTCTTTCAAGGTCTGTTTAACAAGGCTTGCATATTATATAAGGCTTTTTAAAAGCTTAATCATCTATTCTATTTAGAAGAATAGATAATTTTAACACACAACATGAATAATTCATACTTTATGCACAATTCTCACAAGATATGCCACGGCTTCATCAAAAACTATTCAAATTTCAGCTGCAATATATTTGCCAAAGCCTATGAGGCCTTGAATAACATATGTCAAGTTTAACGATTTATACCTGACAGCAGATCCCAATTTTAATCAATCACAAAAAAAAACGTTTCTTTCACTCGTCAACAGCGAAGAAATTTGAAGTAAACAGTTTATATATGAGCTGAATATTACAGCCATCTTATTTAACTTTTATTGCTAAGCAGAAAGATGGTAATTCGTAAGTCATGAAAAATATGGTTGATAACGGCTTCGGGGAATGGGTTTCTGTCGATGGTATTTTGCTTTTACTTTTAAAAATATGAGGTACAAGTGTTATAAGATACGTGATTAATAATGGAAAGAGGGAGAGAAGACACCTAGCCCGACTACCTCCACATCATCATTGTCATATTCAGCCATGCTTGGATACTTGAATGTTACTGGAATTCATCAATGATTATTACTATGAATAATTCAACCGAATCGTCACTATCGCTCGAAAATTGCTTTAGCCATAAATTGGTGAAGTTGGCTATTCTCGAGAACAACTCTGCTCACAAATAATAACAAATATATAAAACAAACGAAATTAAATTAACCAATAAAACATTGTATGTGGTTTGCGTAGAGTTGATTTATATTAAAGTTACAAGCGCTTGATAATTTCAGCATATATTATGACATATTTATTTTTCGTTGGTTTCGAGGATTAGGTTTCAATATTTTTCAATAATTACTTTCGAGTGATTTTAAAAAAATTGGGTAGGATATATACAATGAAGAAGTTGTGCTTTAAGGCATAGGAAATGAGGGACCATACTGTCGCGAGATGAGGGAATTTCGGTACGAAATCGGTTTCTAAAATTTATTGAACAAATTTTTATTGAAGTTTACCAGGAAGAAAGTTTTATTGAAGTTTACCAGGAATTTATAAGCAATGAGAATCGCCAGAAAGTTCACCATTTCTTATAAGAGAAAACGTTTCAGAGTCCAGCCTCATCGTCAGTTCAAAACCTAGAACACAGGTACAAACAATTTGAAGCCTAAAATTCGCATTCAAAAATGCAAATATTGTTTGAATGTAAATTTTAGGCTACTGATTGATTGTACCTGTGTTCTAGGTTTTGGACTGACAATGGGGCTGGACTCCGAAACGTTTTCTCTTAAAAGAAATGGTGAACTTTTTGGCAATTTTCTTTGCTTTTGAATTCCTGATAAATTTGCGATTAAAGCAACCAAGTGATTTTAATACTTTAATGAAGTTCTGTGCAAAAATTTCACTTCCCGCAGCAGCAAAATGTGTGAATGATTTTTGCATTCAAAACATGAAGGAATTTGAACCCGGAACGTTTCGCTTATATGCATAAATAAAATTACATCGATTCAAGGTAGAAAATATCTTAAAGTAAATCAAATCATAATCAAGTTTCACTTGATTTGTAAATGTTTTACTCGGAGCGAAGTGAAAAATACCAAAAATTATTGGATGAAAATTATTTTCCGGCGTGAAAAAGTATTTTAAGCTAGACTTAAATTAATTGAACACAGTAATATTCATGTAATATAATATTTTTAACAGACATCATTTATCTTCCGTTCGGTTCACAAAAAAATCAGCATAGCTGGAAATAAATTCAAATTAATTGTACAAGAATTAACAAACAAGTGAACCAAAATAAATTTTATGAGGTACATAAAAATCCCAATTTTCATCACACAATTCACAGGAAGGACAAAAATTGCGAAATTTATATAAAGGCACGAAAAATTAACAACCTTAACCCACGACCAGACGACCAGTCATTGTTATTAATTGATTATTAATTAATTAATTATTAATTATAAATTAATATTATTATTATTAATATTAATGAATATTAATAATAATATTAATTGAAGTGAAGCTCATTTGTCTCAGTTTGCCTGAATCGAAATCTTTGAATTTTGTCGAACGTTAGAAAAATTTTACATTTACTCAAGTTTTGCCTCAAAATTTTACCGTCGTAGGTACACAATATTTCCAATTAGCATTACAAAATTTCAACAGCGAAGGAAACATTATAATATCAATAAAAATTATCATTAAATATTATAAAAATAAAAGTTATATCAATGAAATTTCTTACTACTTAATATTTTCAGAACCATGACTTGTAAAGTTGTGCAACAACCCGGTACTGATCCAATTGGTTTGTTTACATTGTGACTCGAGGGAGATGTGCTCGCCTAGTTTGAATCTGACTAAATTTTGTTTAGGTGAATGGAGGGAAAACAACGAAAACGCGAAGACGTTGCACAATTGACGTTGTGGAAGTGAACGCAGCCAAAGGGAAAACGCAAAGACGTTGCACAATTGACGTTGTTGAAGTGAACGCAGCCAAAGGGAAAACGCGAAGACGTTGCAAAATTAACGTTGTGGATGTGAACGCAGCCAAAGGGAAAACGCGAAGACGTTGCACAATTGACGTTGTGTAAGTGAACGCTGCGCAAGGGAAAACGCGAAGACGTTGCACAATTAACGTTGTGGAAGTGAACGCTGCACAAGGGAAAAAATATAACTCAGTACTCACTGCAGTGAGTGACAGAGAGCGCATTTTCTCGTAGACGAAAACTTGAGGTCACGGACAGACAGACAGACAGACGGACCGACGGACATGGCGAGCACAATAGAGCATTTTTTCCATAAATGAGAGAATGCGCTAAAAAGCGAAGACGTTGCACAATAGACGTTGTGGGGATACAAGGCCAACCCGAGACAAATGGTCCGAGGTAACTGCATTAACTGAGGCCCACATGCAACAGTGGTCTAAAAGGGGCCCCATCTGCTGCCACTATTTTGGTCACTGGTCTGGTCATGAGTCGAATTAGAAAATAGTTAGGAATTTATAACATAATGTAATAAATGATTTAACGTATATAATAAAATAATGGTACTAAAATCAATAAAAAAGCTCGATCCTCAGAACTGGCAGAAAGATTTCGAGGGAAAAGATCGTCGGGTATTTTTCACATAATAAATTGGTCAGAAATTTGTTCAATTGTTATTTCTAAAATGATTTTAAGGCAATAATGTTCACTGATCAAATCCGGTACTAGCCATTCATGCAATAACATTTTGCAGTCAGTAAAACAGACAAAACTTAGTACCTTGCTTCCCAGTGAAAATTTACAGACGCGGCAGCTTCTGATTTGGTTTACCAGAAGCTGGGGCGACTCTAAATTTTGTTAGGGTCCCAGTGAAAATTTACAGACGCGGCAGCTTCTGATTTGGTTTACCAGAAGCTGGGGCGACTCTAAATTTTATTAGGGTTATATGTTTATATCACAATCTAATTCATCGTTAGCTTCAGTTCAGCTATCATTGTTTTCTATAATCTAAACAATTGAAGATTAACTTTCTAACGCTTATTTTCCATAGCCGATAATCTGAATTTAATATTCTTTCTTACGGTCACTGTCAGTTCAGCTATAATTTTCTTCAATGATCTACACAAATGAAGAGCTACTTTCTAACGGTTATTTCCCATAGCTGATACTCTGAATTTAACAGTTTTTCTAATGGTCACTGAATGGGACGATCACACGATACTTTGTACGCTCGCTGCATTTTCTTTCTATTTCGCGTAGATGGAAGGAAGACAGTGAAGAAACTGGATAGAAGGAGGAAACTATCGAATAAAATAAGATAAAGTAATAGAAACAAGTATATATAGAAATAGAAGCTATATCTTTTTTCTTCCCTTTTTTGCAAAGAAGGAGGGAAGACAGTGAAGAAACCGGATACAAGGAAGAAACAATCGAATAAAATAAGATGAAGTAATAGAGGGAAGTATATATAGAGGTACGGACACAAGATAAAACGTCATAAAAAGGAATTGAAGGTAGAGGCAAACACTGTAACGCAGTTAGAGGAAGGTAAGTAAATAAGTCTTCTAGATAAAAAGAGAAATAGAAATAGAAAATAATAATTAGAATGAAGGCTTAGGAAAATGAAGGAAATGAGCAATAAGATAAGAAAGAATAAGTCAACCCAAACAACAAAGCAGGCAGTAGGAGTAAGGAAAATAAGCGCTAGAGAGAGAGGCAGGTCGCGTGACCAGTAGAGGTCGCCATAACAGCAGAATTTGTCCCAAGCCTAATGGCGGGCAGAGGGGACGAGCCAACGTTTAACAATCGATGGATGGATATCCTACGCAGGATATCCATCGCAAGAAGTTATTCCTGGGCCGGATATTCATTCCAGGGAGCGATTCTTAAGCCGGATATCTATTATAGATAGCGAATTCTAAGCCGGATATCCGTTCTAGGGAGCGATTCCTAAGCCAGATATCCATTCCAGGTAGCGATTTCTAAGCCGGATATTAGTTCCAGGCAACAATTCCTAAGCCGGATACCCTTACCATAAAATCACGATGTTCAAAGGCAAAGAAACCAAGTTGGCAGTGATTTAAAAATCCCTATTATGTATATAATATATATTTAGTAATATTTTCTGTATGGCAACATTGCGTGAAAGTATTTAATTGTTCTTATGTTACACTGGCCACCAAAGAATGTGACGCTGATAAATCGTAAAAATTCCACAAAAACTATAAAAGTGGGCGTACTAAACTGCTAAGTTATCACTATCCCCTTGCTAGTGCTACGGGATTTTATTTTAGATATCTTACACGTTTACTATCACAGTCACGAATTATTTCAAGGACTAACAATTTAAAATATCCTACACGTTAACGCCCTAAAATATTGACATGTACACGTTCCAGTTCCAGCCAATACTTTGTTTATTTTTAATACTTTTTAAACCTTCTTGCTGATTGTTTAAAGTATATCTACAATTCAATATTTTCTAAACTTCACGCTCAGATTGCTTCACAGTTTTTTTATTGAAAAATAATATTTGGTTATACAGATACACCGGCTTTTGGAATACACCAGGCATATATCTCCGTATCAAGGGAAAGTGGAGTGGAGATGACATCTTATAAGGAACTTGATCATTAGTGTTCAAGAAATACACATAATGAAGGATCATAGAAGTGGGGAATTATAACCCACAGAACCGAATGCGAAAGAGTCAAAAAATATAATCTGACTTCCAATAATAATAATAGTAATAGAATAAAATTCAATTTTCGGATCAAATTTTGAAAGTCGAAGTCCTGTTCAGGAGAATAAGCTCCGATGAAGTTGAATGACTAAACAGGGGGTATATATATATATATATATTATAGTTTTGCAAGTATAGTATATATGTTTAATAAAATTTCAATATATATTGCTACCCTTTCGCCGATGTAAATAACGATTACTTCATAAATCCAGGCTAGAAAGGTAGCTTTTCCTCGAAGAAAAGTTTTGAACGGCGACCGTGTGATTACCAGGATATAATTTGCAATGGTGCGACACGCCTATCAAGTGCAACCAAAGTAAAAAAATCGAGATGCTCATGGAATTATTTTTGAATGTTTATGCTTGTTGAGTTATAGGAAAGAAAATCAGGATGAGTAGTCGGGCGAAAAGTGCTTCGAAAATTATAGTGGTAACCACTTATCCTAATTAACAATATTTAGTACACGGCGAATAGTAGATAATTAAGGGCAAGATTTTGATCGAATATCAGTGGCTCATTTCGAATATGCAAACTAAACGGAAAAAATACATGTAGTTGATTGAAAATCTTGCTCGTAAGCTTCGGTAATAAAGAACTATCAGGCTCTTTGCTGTTGACTTCTAAATTTTTTCAGCGATTGCTCGCATTAAGAAATTTACTTCGCGTGATCAGAAGAAATAAGACGGTCAAACCATCCCAGGAAATGAATTATCTTCGTGGAGGGAACGGGCTTGAAAATAACAGGAAAAAAATTATATTTAAAAATTATAGGGATACCCAGTAAAAATTTACAGACGCGGCAGCTTCTGATTTGTATTACCAGAAGCTGGGGCGACTCTAAATTTTGTTAGGGTTGCAACTTCAATTATTGGATTCTTTCTTAATTAACAACCGTAATTTTAAGGCGTTTTTCCAATTATTTGGCACTTTTTATGACGGACGTCCTGAAGAGTATATTTTAATCAGTCATCACAAATCGGACTCAGTCATCGCTTAACTGCTTAATTCACACGCGGCACCGGAGTTATCGGTCTTAAAATTCAAAACTAACAACTGAAAATTGATGCCCAGACAACTTGAAAATCTCACTAAAGCTAAATCTAATCGGCACATTTGTTTTTACAACAATATCAAAATCCTCCTATTTAATTAGACATTGAGAATCACTGGGCCCAGTGGTTACAGTTCAGAGAACCAGGATTGGAGCAGAGAGGCGCGGGTTCGATCCCAGCTCTGTGCGCCAGTTTCTGGTCAGAATCGGCGAGGAGGCCGGGCGGTTAAGCGTAGCAGAATTGTAGCAGTGAGTTGCGAGTTCGAGACCGCAAAATGCTATGAATATAAGAATCGGCGACAGGCCTACGGCCTACTAAACGCTGAAACCGCTATTATTATTATTTATTAGTATAAAAGAAAGACTTACATCTCGACGCGCTCTACTTTGACCCCCCAAGGGTCGGTGGCCTCATCGAGGGAGCTTTGCATGGTGGATGAGATGGACTCTCTCTCGCTCAGAATCTCAGCTAAGTTGCGAGTACCGAGCACATTGCGCAGAGTTGTTGCCGCCAACAGCCGAGTTGAGTGGCTGTTTGCCCGAACAATCCCAAACATTGGGTGGTGACAAACGCAAACATGAGGTGGTGACAAACGCAAACATGAAGTGGTGACAAACGCAAACATGAGGTGGTGAGGTGGTGAAGGTGACAAACATGGTGGACAAACGCAAACATGAGGTGGTGACAAACGCAAACATGAGGTGGTAACAAGGGCAAATATGAGGTGGTGACAAACGCAAACATGAGGTGGTGAGGTGGTGAAGGTGACAAACATGGTGGACAAACGCAAACATGAGGTGGTGAGGTGGTGAAGGGTGACAAACGTGTGGAAAACCGAACGGTGAGATGAGGCGATTAGGGAATGACAGTCATCAGAATAAGGTGATGAAAAATTGAAAATAAAAAGAGACAGTGATCAATTGAGTGCTAACCGCAAACCCAGGGTAGCGAATGAGATTAGTTGTTGTAAGAAATTGTGGTACAGACTCAAGTATTGGGGTGGAAATTTAATGTTTTTATGGTCAATACATATAATGATGGTTTAGGCGAGGATGGATCGGCGCTTGATAAGATGAGTAGAATGAGTAGACGGCAATCGATTAAACATGACAATGATTAATGGTTGAGTACGTTAACGGTTAATTAATGGAACAGATATAGTGTATTTGAATTGCAAATACAGTAACGGCAATGTGAATAAATAATAAAAAATAAGTGTTTTGTTACGGTATCAGTAGTTGACAAATGATTCAGATAAATAAATTGTAGTAATGAATGTTAAAAACAAATAATTTTGCGAGTTAGTGATGCGTTTGATGAGAAATTGTTGGTAGGTCGGCAATTGTTCGGGCAAACAGACATATATTGCAATTAGATAACCCCATATCGGGTTATTTTCAAAATTGGTACGCAAGCGCAAGCAATATTTGAGAGAGGTTGACGATGCGATAAAAATTCGGTCATTAATAAACATGTTTGAACGGCGGGCAACATTCGCAGATTTTTGATGAACATGCATCATTTAATGGGACACATAATTTTCATCAATTAAATTTAAAAAATTCATTTGATGACGTGTTGAATTTGCTCTTGATTTTTTATTCATGAAATAAGCAGTGACAGCAGCAGCTCGCATTGTATTGATAACAATAAAGATATAAACTTATTATACCGACACAAATGACACGTACAATAGCGATGGGACCGTCACAAATGACACGTAGAGTAAATACAATGCAATACAATGCATACGATATCACAATGATGAGACAGAGGCGAGGGCGGGGGAGAAAGCCAGAGAAGCAGAGAGGAAACGAAGAGAAATTACAGTGAAAAATAGAACATGGAGGAGGTAGGGACAACTTTAGGATAAATACCAACAAAAATTTACGATTTTTTTATAAATTTAACGCAATTTATGTCAGTTTTAACAGCCATTATTGTAACAAGATTAAATTATTAGGGAATTCATATGTTTGCGTTTGATATAAGTTGTTTATGACGGCAGTAACAACAGTGTAAACCATGCCACTCAAAAATTATGATATTTTTATAATATAAAAAAGATAGTTCCGTATTATGCAAAAGTTGTGGGTAGGTTAACGCAGGAAATACGGGAATTTGCATCAAGTATACGTATAAAATATGAATTAATTCATGAAAATATGAAATAGATTCAGAAAACGTAGTAATGATGTAGGAAGTAGCGGAGAAGTCGTGGTTAAGAGAAGGGTTAGATTAGGATGAGTTAGGATACACATCACAAACATGTAAGCAACATAGCAGCTTGCGCACAAATTGGGATAGTAACATGTTGTTGATTTGTTATTAATATGTTGTTATTAACGCGTTATTAACATGTTGTTGACATGTTATTAATACGTTATTAACATGTTGTTAACATGTTATTAACACGTTATTAACATGTTGTTGACATATTATTAACATATTATCAACATGTTATAAACATATTATTTACATATTATTAACATGTTGTTGACATATTATTAACACGTTATTAACATGTTGTTGACATATTATTAACATATTATCAACATGTTATAAACATATTATTTACATATTATTAACATGTTATTAACATGTTGTTGACATATTGTTAACACGTTATTAACATGTCCTTTACATATTATCAACATGTTATAAACATATTATTAACATGTTATTAACATGTTATTAACATGTTATTGACGTATTATTAGCATGTTATTAACATGTTATAAATATGTTATTAACATGTTGTTGACGTAATCACGGCACTCGTAAGCAGGTGTAAGCGGTACGAAACATTGTTATTGTATGGCCATGCGTCGTACGTATTGCCATGGTGAAGCAGGATTTACTTTAGGCGATTAATACCAAGAATTTTACAATATGTATAAAAAAATTTTGTATAAGCACAAAAGCAGTTCAGTAATAATTGCGTGAGCTTAAGTTCAGCCAGGTGCGAATAAAGTTAAATTGTATGCACCAACAATAAAATTTAGTTTAATACAGAATAAGTTTAATAATAATTTTAATAAGACTCCCTTGACAGCAGTTGGTTGGTAGTCGAGATGACGCCTCCAGGTAGACGGGTTAGTAAAAAGTAACGCACATTTTTATTCAAACGTCGTGATGGAAATTATGAATTATTTGTACACAGAAAATAGAATTAATACGACATGTTCATGATGAAATTTTATAAGAAAATTATTTATGGTTTGTCAGGATGAGAGTTTGTGTGAAGAAAAGTTTGTTTGTATTGAGATGGTTAGAGATAAAACATAAGGCATTAGTCAGAGTGGAAGAAAAATTGTATAAGAAATTGTATGAGAAATATGTAGACAATAGGAATATTGTAATATAATTGTTTTTCAAATTAATATAGTGTACATGAGTGTAATAAAAACGATTTTTAGGGATTAGAGATAACACTTATGCGTGTATATGTAAGATGGTTTTAGGGTATGAGATGAATGAGCGATGAGTGAGTGGCAGGTTAACAGCGCATGTTAACGATTCCCATTCCATACATGTGAGATATTTTTTTAGTGTATGATATGAATGAGCGAAGAGTGAGTGGCAGGTTAACGATTCCCATTCCACATCCAGGCAGCATGTAGGGAGGGGGAGGAGGGAAGGGGGAAAAAGAACAGAAATTAGAGTCCGTGGAAATGTTTTAAATTCTACTATACTAACATATGCTATTTATTATATTTTCATGTACTGAACATTCCAAAATATTTTATTTTCTGAATACTTGTTTAAATTCTAGCAAACTTCACTTTTAACAATTCACAGAAATTGAGAGATTTCGTTAAAAATTCTGTCAATATATAAAATATATTTGTATATTCCATAATTCAGTTTCTTATGATCAAAATCCATATAAACATGTTTCACTTGTAAACGAAATTCCTAAAAGTTAAAGAATCTCATGACACATAATAAAATTATTTATTATTACTTAGTTATAAAGCACGAGGTGATACCGGTATTGTGTTTCACACAAGATTGTAACCCTATAGTACATTTTGTACTGCACTTTTCCAGTTGTGACATTTCGAGTACAGTGCTACTGCAAAGTGCTCAAGTGCTTCAATGATTATACATTGATTGATGAAACCGAGTTGCTTGATGAAATTAAAATAATTTCCCAGCACATCTACAGCCATTACAGTACTACATTAACATTATGTAATACTGTATTTATGTAATATCGGCCCCAGAGCGTTGAACAACCAATGCAATAGTTTGCAGCAACGGTACAATAATTTTTTTTTGTTCTGGAACTTAACACCGTTTGGTACGGTTAACTGTTATTTTGAATGATGTTGAAAGCAACTACACTGTGAGGAAAATCACCGGCATTCTAGTGGACGGTCGGAACGTGAAAAGAAACGCCGTATGACCATTTTTACTCGAATTTAACACTAAAATCCCGTACAACATCTGAAAAAAAACGGCGATTCGGTTTATCTTCACGTGGCGGCCGGTAACTAGAAAGCCGTCGAAACCGTTTTTTCTAACAGTGTAGATAGTGCCAATGAAGAAACATCTAAAATAATTATTGGCTGTTCTTTAAAGCCAATAAAAATAATATAACAAAATTCTTGGTTGTTCTTTACCGTTGGTGACGCCACAAGGGATCGTAACGTACATATTTCTTCAGTATAACGCCGTGGAACAAATAAAAATAACGCATAGATGAGTTAAACAATAACTTTTCCGAATAAAACGAGATAAATAACGAAAGATGCAGAAAATAGAAACATCGAAAGCATGGCAGTAAATCAAGTACAGGATGCAGCTATACAAAGAAAGGATGCAGTGCACGAGCGTCTAATTTACCACGCTAGCTCTAACAAAATTCAGAGTCGCCCCAGCTTCTGGTAATCAGAAGATGCCGCGTCTGTAAATTTAGAGTCGCCCCAGCTTCTGGTAATCAGAAGCTGCTGCGCCTGTAAATTTTCACGCAACTAGTTCGGGACTATTTCTTTTTATTTATTTCTCTACGCATTACCATATATCTATCAATTTTTATTTCCATTAAATGCCAAAAAAAAAATAGAATGATTCAACGCTATCAGAATTGAGATCAGCCTCAGCATCTGATTACTCGAATCAAAAATAAAAATTTAATACTAAATTCAAATTCGAATATTAAATTCATATTCGAATATCTAATTCGAATTCGAATATTAAGTTCGAATTTGAATTTAATATTCGAATTCAAATTTAGTATTCAAATTCGAATTCTAATTTAATATTCGAAATTGAGAAATTTCGGTGATGCGTGTGAATATTTTCTTCTGGCTACTCGAATTAAAATCTGCCACGCCTCTGAATTTGGGCTGTTACAGCTTCTAATTTCGGACAATCAAAAGCCAGAGCTTTTTCAAACTTCTGTTCGTAAAAAGGTTAGTCCTGAATATTGTGAGATAATCGACTGAACATTAAGTACTTTCTCACTATCAAGGTTCTTGTAGTATGGACTTGTTTCGTCCATGAAGAAATAGACCGAGCTGTG